TAAACATATATATATATATATATATCCAGCTGATTTCTACACCAAACGAAGCAGTAAATACATAATTAAAAAGTAAACAAATGCAATATTTAATTTTAATTTTTTCAAATACCTCTTCCCATGCATAAACGAACCCTAACTAATTAACTAAAACAAACAAACAAATAAATAGATAAATAAATAAATAAATAAATATTAATTTAATTAATTTAATTAATTAATTAGTTTATTAATTACCCCTTCCAATATTGACGGGGACATCGCGAAAAAACGAGCGGCCGTCGCTCAGTTTGCAGACATCGCTGTCTTGTCCACCCATAAAGTATCTGAAAAAGAACTCCTCTTCATCATCATCTTCTTCTTCTTCTTTTTGTTGTTGCTTTTGCTGTTGCTGCTGCTGCTGCTGCTGTTGTTGCTGTTTTTCTGTTGTTTGTTTTGGTGTTTCTGTCGATTCCGCTGGGTTTTGATTTGCTGCAGTTGCTGCATTTGCTGCTGCTGCTGCTGCTGCTGTTGCCCTCATGCTGCTTTCTCTCTTTCCTCCTCTCTTCAGTCTGGCGCCAGCACTGCTGCTGCTGCTGCTGCTGCTGCTGCTGCTGTTTTTCTTTCTTATTTTTTCGTTATAGAGGGTCCAGTAGGTTTTCTCTCCTTTTGAATTTGTTGTAGGGGGTCGCCCCAGCTGTACATACACCGCAAAAGAAAAAACAATGTAGAGGCTAAGAAGGAAGAAGAAGAAATAATATTATTTATGAGTGAAAGAGAAAGCAGCAGCAACAGCAGCAGCAGCAGCAGCAGCAGCAGCAGCAGCAGCAGCAGGTTAAATGTCTATACAGTAAAAAGCAGCAGCAAAAAAGTATTTATTTAGTAAATAGAAAGCCGCAGCATATAATTATTTGTCAGATAAATACAAAGCTGTGAATTGAGCAGCGGCGCCAGAGAGGTAAAAGCCGCAGCAACAGCAGCAGCAACAGCAGCAGCAACAGCAGCAATAGCCGCAACAGCGACAACCGCAGCAGCAGCAACAAGAACAGAAGCAGCAACATCAGCAACAACATCAGCAACAGCAACAGCAACAAAAACAGCAGCAACATCAGCAACAGCAACAGCAGCAAGATCAGCAGCAACATCAGCAAGAGCAACAGCAGCAAGATCAGCAGCAAGATCAGCAAGAGCAACAGCAGCAAGATCAGCAGCAGCAGCAGCAGCAACTACTGATATAATTACATTATTCATGCATGCTCCCTGCCCGTCTTCCCAGTTGAAATAAATCCCTCTGAAGAGTGAGGGATGCCTCTTCAAGATTTCATCGATTTGTTCATAGTCAGGCCTGCCTATCCACATTCCTGCTAGCTTGAGCTTCGTTTGCTGCTGCAGCTGCTGCAGCTTAAGATAGTATTCTTCTCCCCACGGAGACGCAGCAGCAGCATAATGTTCAGGGGTTAGCTGAGCTGTCTGTACACCCGGATTGCTGATGCTGAAATTCGTATGTCTATTGAAATCTTCTATGTGCTGCAGCGGTACATACACCCCCTCTGCTATTTCAGCTGCACGGGCAAATCTTTTTTCTAACTCCTCTACACTTCGTACGAAGCAAACAGAGTATGCTTTGTTCTTTTGAGCTCTCTTCATTCCTGCTGCTGCATTGCTGCTGCTGCTGCTGCTGCTGCTGCTGCGATTCATTATTTCATTAAATTTCTTTTCGTCTAACATCAATTTCAAATACCCGGGGTCGCCACCTCCTTCACGAGGCCGCAGCTGCACTGGTAGTTCGTAGGCTGTACCTACAAATATCTCTTCTTCTTGCAGATGTTGCTGCTGCTGCTGCTGCTCTTCATCATCATCATCATCATCATCATCATCATCATCGTCATCGTCATCATCGTCATCGTCATCATCGTCATCGTCGTCGTCATCGTCATCATCGTCATCATCGTCATCACTGTCTTCCTCTTGCTGCTGCTGCTGCTGCTGCTGCTGCTGCTGCTGCTGCTGCTGCTGCTGCTGCTGTTCATCCTTACCCTCCTGCTCCTCCACCTGCTGCTGCTGCCCTTCCTCTTGCTGCTCCTGCTGCTGCTGCTGCTCCTCTTCCTGCTGCTGCTGCTGCTGCCCTTCCTGCTGCTGCTGCTGCTGCTGCTGCTGCTCTTCCTCCTCCTGCTGCTGCTGCTCTTCCTGCTGCTGCTGCTGCTGCTGCTCTTCCTCTTCCTCCTGCTGCTGCAGCTGCTGCTCTTCTTCTTGCTGCTGCTGCTGCTCGTCTTCCTGCTCCTGCTGCTGCTCTTGCTGCTGCTGTTGCTGCTGCTGCTGCTGCTGCTGTTCTTCCTTCTGCTGCTGCTGTTGCTGTTGCTGTTGTTGTTGCTGCTGCTGCTGCTGCTGCTGTTCGTCGTCGTCATCGTCATCGTCATCGTCATCGTCATCGTCGTCGTCTTCGTAGTCATCATCGTCGTCGTCATCATCGTCGTCATCATATATTTCTTCATCTTCTTCATCTGCTGCTGCTGCTGTTTCTGCGGCTGCTGCTGCTTCTGCTCCAGCAGCAGCAGCAGCTGCTGCTGCTGCTGCTTCTTTCTCTACGGGAACGTCGAAGTATTGCATAGAAGGATCTGCTGCAACAGTTGGAGCAGCAGCATCTGTTGCTGCAGCAGTGACAGCAGCAACTACGTCTGCTGCATATCCTGCTGGAGCTGCTGCTGCTGTTGCTGCTGCTGCTGTTGCTGCTGCTGCTGCTGCTTCTGCTGCTTCCTTCTCAAGGGAGACGTCGAAGTATTGCATAGAAGGATCTGCTGCAACAGTTGGAGCAGCAGCATCTGTTGCTGCAGCAGTGACAGCAGCAACTACGTCTGCTGCATATCCTGCTGGAGCTGCTGCTGCTGTTGCTGCTGCTGCTGTTGCTGCTGCTGCTGCTGCTGGTGCTGCTTCCTTCTCAAGGGAGACGTCGAAGTATAGCATAGAAGGATCTGCTGCAACAGTTGGAGCAGCAGCATCTGTCGCTGCAGCAGTAACAGCAGCAACTACGTCTGCGGCATATCCTGCTGCTGCTGTTGCTGCTGTTGCTGCTGCTGCTGCTGGTGCTGTTGTTGTTGGCTCTTCAGCTTGGTTTGGAAGTTCTGATTGACGGAGGCTATATACGGATGTCGCTGTCTCTTGTTCACTTACTAAATGCACGCTGTGCACGTCGTCAGACTGCTGCTGCTGCTGCTGCTGCTGCTGCGGCTGTTGCTGCCGCTGAGGTTGCTGGTGCGGCTGCTGCTGCTGCTGTTGCTGCTGCTGAGCTTGCTGCTGCGGCGGCTGCTGCTGCTGCTGAGGTTGCTGTGGCTGCTGCTGCTGCGGCTGCTGTGGCTTCTGCAGCTGCTGCGACTGCTCTTGAGTTTGGGTTTGTGCTTCTTCTTCATTTTCAGTTGAAGTTGATTCTCCTTGCATGTACACCGCATCCCCTGCCTGAGGAGTGTTTGCAATAATTTCTTTTTGGCTGCCCTCAACGCTGGGTGTCATTTCTTCTGTTTGCTGCTGCTGCTGCTGCTGCTGCGGCAGCACGTCTGCAACTGCAACAGCTGCTTCTGTTGGTGCTGCTGCTGCTGGTTTTGCTGCATATTTTCTTCGGGGTTGTTCTTCAGCATTTGAATCTGCATTAAAAACTTCAGCTGTCTCTGCGGCGTTGACGGAGGAGAAAGTCTGGAGAGAGAAAATAACAAAGAGGCAAAGAGAGAAGAAAAAGAAAAGCCCCAGAGAAGAGCGAAGCGGCTTAATTAGTAAATTTGCTGCGCTCATCATTCACTTATCAAGGAATACATACAGAGTGAAGTGTACGTAATGCAGCAACAACTGCAAGAAGATAATATTGCAAAGTATGAACAAGGGGTTGGGGGGTGTTAATAATAATAATATTAATGATAATTAAGGGTGTTGCCTTGGTGCTCTCTCTTCCTTCAAGAGATGAGGTAAAACAGGGAAAAGGGAGATATTTGTGTATCAGAGAATACTTAAATGCGCCTGTGACTGACATCAATCTACTGCTGCTGCTGCTGCTACTGCTGCTGCTGCTGGTGACCAGTGGAAGTTGCGGCGGGTCCTCTACACATCATTTTTTCTCGCTTAAAAAGAAGAAAACAATATTTCAATAAAATTAAAAAACATTTTAAATTTATTTTACGTTTTTTTTCTTTTCTTGCTCGCAAAACGTCCTCAGAAACCGTCACAGCAGCGGCTGCCCTCAGTCGAAGTCGCGTTGAATCCCCCCGGTGGTGGTGGTGCCTGCAGCATGGAAAGCGCATTGAAATAAATTCATTCAAATAAAAACAAAAACACTGATTAATTAAAATAAATATATAAAAACAAAGACAACCATTTAATTGCCTTATTCAGCGGAGATCTCTCCAAAGGCTTCACTCACTCAATCGTTTAATTCAACAATGAAGAAAATTTGCACGGCTTTGTTACTAATTTGTCGTCCTAGGGTTTAGGGTTTAGGGTTTTAAAATTTGATATTGGTATATATTTCTTAATCTCTTAGAGCAAAGGGCTTAGGGTTTAGGGTTTAGGGTTTAGGGTTTTGCCTTCCGAGGCCCTTGAGGAATGCGTAGATGGTTTTCTCTTTCTTTCGGTGATAACGCGAGATGATATCGCTATCTGTGTATTTTATTTGTCTTTCTAGCGCGTGAAATTGAAGAATAAAAAGAAAAGAAGAAGAAATAAACGAAGGGATGCCAAGGATAACAGCCCCTGAATCGATTGCTGTTCTTCTTATCATTTTTTATTTATTGCTTCTGCTGTATGTCTTCCTCCTGTCTTTTCTCCTTCTTCTTTCCCTGAGTGCTGGAGGCTGCCGCTGCCATAGAGAACTGCTTGTGGTTCTGTATACCACTTTCTATCTGCAAGAAATGTCTTTTTAATTGCAAGTGCTTTCAGCAATGCAGATTCCTCTTCTTGTAGTTTCGCTGCTTCAGACGGCTTCCAGGTGTACAGAGTAAAGTTAACCTGAGCAAAATATATTCATTAAAAAGAAATAATAAAAGAAGAGAGCAAGCAATGCGAGCAAACAGGCAATATGCATCTTTTTGCCTATCTTTCTTTAATGAAATATTCAAACTCATCGTTCAATACTTCTATACACCTCTTTATTTAAAAAGCATAATTAAATATATTTCTTATTTACAGAACTGCTCAGAGTAATCAGCAGATGTACACAAACGCGACATGCATATGCATGCGAAACCAAAGCATACATAATATATAAGGAATATATGTATATACGTGTACATATATATATATATATATATTATGTATGTAGATGTTAACACGCTTGTATGCTTATTAATGTGCATTTATGTGTATTAATTTGTATATATTTAAGAGTATACTCACTAAAGAAAGAAGAAACTCGAGTGAATTGCTTTTTCTTTCTTCAACTTTGTTCATCCGGCCTTCAGCGAATTCAGAAATTGCTTCAAAAGAAATGAGGCCTCCGTCTGTCAGTCTTTGTGCGTCCTGCATCAGCAAAGAAGATGATGCATTTCTTCTTAAAAAGAGATAAAAGAAGTGCAATTAAACAAACAAAGAAAATAAACAATCAAATATAACGCAAGATATAAAGGAGAGTTCAGAGAAACAAACGTACAAACACGAAATCCACAGCTACACCCAAACGCAAGTAAAAAAAAACAAAATAAAACAAAACTTAAACAATAACAATATATGCGAAAAACAAAATATGCACAAAGAAATACAAAGCGGAAAACACAAACAACTGAAGACATAAATGATTATATATATATATATATTCACTTAAACGGCTACGCATGTGAAGAGCTTCAAGGGGGAGGGAAACGAAAGCAAAAAGACAAAACAAAAGAAGGACGATGAGCTTATGCCTTTAATCGTTTTGTAGCAAATGTTTGCACTTTTAACTGCAGATACACTTCACCAAATAACAGATTTACGCATGCAGTTTAGTAAAACGTAATTGAATAATAAATGCACCACTCTAAGTACAATTAAGTATTACTTGTTTTATAACAAAAACAGAAGAAGCAACACTCACACGAAAACATGAATAAGCCAAACGCAGACGAGACTCGCTGTCGTTGCCGAGGGCCTTCAGGAGAGGATGTGCGTTGCATTTTGCAGCAATTTCCGCTTCAATTTGTTTGTTTAAAGCGACATATTCATGTTCTCCAGCAGCAAATGCATCTGTACAGAAGTGTAAATAAAACCTATGAAGTAGTTGTTCACTGAAAAACAGCTTCATTCACCTGCATCTGTGAAGTTGCATAAACTCGCACTACCAGATATTCCTTTTTGCTGCAGAATGTCTGTCATTTGCTTCCTCTTTTCAAACGTTTGTTTGTTGCGGCTAGAAATGAGTTGTTTGTGAGTATTGACAGTGGAGTGGAGGTCTGCTTCTGCGAACAGGAAGAACATTATCATAGGCATAGCAATATAAACATAATCATGTTGTTGGTGTCTGTGTGCGTCTCACTTAAAGCATGATAGGCATTGGCTTCATTCACCACCGACGCATTTAAACCCTTCTGCATTTCTTCATGAAGCTTAAGATTTTGTAGCTGATGCAGATGTTTCTGCTGGAGGGCGCTGAGGTCTTGTTGCTTTTCAAAAACTTGCTTGCCAATCTGAATAGGAGATCGCTGGGCTGCAAAAAGAGAGAAAACAGTCAACAAATGCATTTAAATACCTTTTCGCAAGCTTCTTCGAGCAGCTTTATCACAGAAGTGTGCGTTTCCAATTCAAATTCTAACACCCGGTTCTGCCCCTCAATGGCGCTCAGGCTGAATTTTGCGAAAAAGTGGAAACATGAAATAAATTTAAAAACACGGAAACGTCACTCACCGCTGTAAGAGAGACTTATAATACTGAAGCTGCACTCCGCTGTCTTCCATTTTGAATATAGTTATTGCAATTTTCAATGAAATCTCTTCTTTATAACTTATGAACAGTTGCAAACAGAAAGCTGAAATGTGGAGCTGCGCATACACCCGACGAACCGTTGCGGTGTACAGGCACCTCTCCATCTAATTTCAAATAATAGCAGTAACACTAAAGTAGCTTTGTTGTGGCAATGGAATAACTTGCCATCTATTTTAGTCTAATTTCCAAATTAATACAGCAGGATAAAACATTTGCCAGCCCTCCTTCTAATTGTTTGCGTTAGGGCTGAGTGAAATATACATATAAATATGCATATGAATATTTATATGCAATACTAAAATATGTTTCTTGGGTTTTGAACTTATTTTTCATTTATTTTGTTCTGCCTCCCTTGTGCTATTGAGAACAGCAAGGCATGTCGAGTGTAAGAGAAACATTGCAGCTGCACTGACACCCGATTCATTCAACTACTGGGTCTGGGTGTTTCAGCATCCTTGCTGAAGAATCCAGCAATAGAGCTGATGTTACTTAGGCTAGAGAAGAGCTAAGGAGGAAGGAAATGCACGTCATGCTCTGTTGCCATTGGTTCCGTCTGCCCCGATAATGCCTGCAGTAGGGGCATCCTAAGGCCTTCTCTGTGCATGCTGTTTAATGCAAGAAAGCAGATGAAAAGAAGATTAGAAGGTGTAGTTAAATAGATCTATTCTGTGCTGAATTTCTTCTGCTTGTGCATTTGCTGCGGCGGAGAGAAGTTTCAATTGGTTTATATATTTGATAGGGTATTGATCTGCAAGGAAAGGTGCTTTCTCTAATGCTCAATTCACCTATAGAAGATAAATCAATTCATTTTAAGCTCTTTTTTATACTGAAATATTCATGAATCCTACACACCCACTTGAAAAAGCGCACACCTCGCGGTGTACGTACACTGGACGCCTCCTCAGACCACCGGTCGGCTGCGGCGACCGCATCGGCTGTTGGTTTTGTTGTGGAAAGCAGCAACAGAAAGTGAAGTTTTTTGCAATTAATCGCAAAATATTGTTGAAACAAAAGTTTTGTTTTGTCTTTTTAATTTTTTGTCTGCTTCTCTCAGTTGTATTACAGCTAAGAGCTCCGGTAGAGCGGTCTGTTCGACGGCGGGCGGCAGCGTTGGCGTGTCGTGCAGATTGAAACTGAAGCAGTATTCTTCTTTTTTTCTTCTTTTCTGTTGAATTCTTAATAATAAATCGCAATTAAAGTATGCAATTTCCATTGTTTAAGTCTCTCCTTCCAAATGTGTGAAGGAGCTCGCCTTGCTGGCTTCTCTTCTCTCGGCATCAACATTTAAACTCATACGGACGCCGACTGCTGCGCTGCACTGACCTTTATCTCTGAATAATTTCTCTCTTTCTTCTTTTCTGAATAAAGATGATGGAGTTTAATTTCTCTGAAAGGGGCTTCTCTGTGATTTTTGATTGGCTCGTTACCGCCGCACTTCTTTTTCTTCTTGAACTGGTATGCAAAGCAAACTCAAACAAGCATCAGCAGCACTTTTGTTCTCTCTTATCTTTATTTGTTGTTGCTGTAAACACTAACCCACTGTAATCAGCAGCTTCCTTTGTCTTCCCTCTCTTCCTGTCGATTGGCTTTGCTGCTCTTTTTCTGTTTGCTGTCTCTGTCTCCGTCGGTCTCCTGTCTCTTTCTGTTTGTGTACATCTCTGTTTGCTGCTGCTGCTGCTGTTATCCAGCAACTGGTGTCTCCAGCAGCAACAATAGCAGCATAATACTTTGCTTTGTGTTGAATTATTTTTGCTGCATCTTTTCATTTGTTGTGCTGTATAATCTTTTTCAGGTTCTTTTTTCTCTTTACCGCCGCTTCTTCCCCGTCTCATCGCCGCATGCATCGTCTGTGCCTTCGCCTCCTCAGCGTCATAACCCATCTCCTTTGATAGAGAAATGGGAGGCTAGCATAAGCAGCAGCAACAGCAGCAGCTGCTGCTGCTGCAGCTGTCGCATGCATTCAGGGGAGTGTCTGCATACACTGGAACTACCAAGGGCCTCTCAGCTACATAATACAGCTTTAAGAAGTGCTGCTAGCTGCACTGCACCTGAATGCAGCATGAGGTTTGAAGACTTTGGTGCTGCAGCAAAGCAGCAGCGTCATGATATGTATACTGAAGGCACCCAAAGCCTTCACGCCTCCTTCGCTCACCTTTCCTTTCATCCGCAGCAGCAGCAGCAGCACCAAACGTACAAACGCCACTCTCACCAGCAGCAGCAGCACCAGCAGCAGCAGCAGCACCAGCAGCAGCAATTAGAAGAAGGAGCAGACGAGATAGAGAGTGCAGAACAGCAACAACAAGAAAAACAAATTCAATACATCTACTCACTCACAGATATGATCGGCGCATTCGCCAGAATGGTATGCATATTAGGGTTTAGGGTTTAGGGTTTAGGGTTTAGGGTTGTGCTTCTTCTTCCGATTATCTCGCTGCTGCTGCTACTTGTACTGCTGCCTGTGCTGCTTTTATTGCTGCTGCTGTTGCTGCTTCTGCTTTCGTTTTGCTGATTCTTCTGCGTTTGTTTTACTGCTACTGCTGCCTGTATTGCTGCTGCAACTGTTTGTGTTGCTGCTGCTGCTTGAGTTATTGCTGCTCGTAGCTATCTTACTGCTGCTTGTGCTGCTGTTGCTGCGGCTGCTGGCTCTGTTACTGCTCTTGCTTCTGTCTTTTTTGTTGCTGTTGTTTTGCTGCCGTTGTTGGTGCTGTCTCCGTTTCTGTTGCTGCTGTTTATATGCGTTGATGTCTATCTGTATATGCTGTTGTTCTTTGAGGTGTACGTACAGCTGAAGATAGCTTTGCTGCTGCTGCTGCTGTTTTGTGTGCATTAACAGAAACGTCTGCAGCGAGGAGAAGAGCTGTTGTCTACCCTCTGCTTTGAAAGACACAACAGCGCTCCTCAAGAGTTTGATGCATATACTGTTGTTGCAGCAGCAGCAGCAGCACTTGCAGCAGATGCTGCTGATCCCCCCGTACCGGCCCCTGCACACAACAGCAGCAGCAGCAGCAGCAGCAGCAGCAGCAGCAGCAGCAATGTGCAGCGGATGGGCTCATTCCCTTCATCGCCACGTCATTGCCCGCAGCAGCCGCTGCAGGTGACTCTGCCAGGGGAGGAATGCAGCAGCAGCAGCAGCAGCAGCAACAGCAGCAACAGCAGCAACAGCAGCAACAGGAACACGGCAGAAGGGGCAGAGAACTTGAGTGAGAAGGAGATGCAGTTGCTGCTGCTTCAACAACAACAGCAGCAGCAGCAGCAAACGCTGCTTTCTCAACAAGAAAAACAAAGAGAGCGACAGCTGCAGCATACTGCAAATATGGAGGCCATCCCTGTGCTGCAGAGGTATTCAAGTCGCTTGCTGCTGCTGCTGCTGCTGCTCTTGCTGCTGCTGCTGCTGCTCTTGCTGCTGTTGTCGCTGGTGCAGCTGCTGTTGCTCTAGCTCATGCTTCTGTTGCTGCTGTTGCTGTTGGTGCTGCTGCTGCTTGTAGCTAGTGCTGCATTTGCTTCTAGCAGATTGTCTACACCTCCACAGTTCGACCGAAGGTTTGCTCTGTATGCAAATGTTTAAGGTTTAAGGTTTAGGGTTTAAGGTTTAGGGTTTAGGGTTTAGGGTTTAGGGTTTGTGTTCAGGGCCCAGAAGCTCCGTCAGCTCGAAGTTGCTGTGACGGTCTATGAAACGTTTAAAAGAAGAAATGAAAAAATGCAGAAAGACGTTTGTCTGCTCCTCGTTCAGTGTGCTCTAGCGTAAGGCTTTGCTGCTGCTGCTGCTGCTGCTGCTGCTGCTGCTGCTGCTGCTGCTGCTGCAGTTGCTGCTGAAGCTGTTGCCGTTGCTGTTGCTGCTGCTGCTGAGGGCGGTGTTGCTGCTCAATTTGGTGTTGGTGCTGCTGCTTTCATTGATGCTTCTCAGCCTGCTGCTGCTGCTGCTGTTGTTGTTGTGATGGTCGGCTGCTGCTTTCTATATATATATATATATTATATATAATATATTCTCTGTCTCTATACATCTAAATAAATATATAAATATATATATAGCTTGTTTTGCTGTTGCTGATGCTGCTGCGATTAATAAATACATGCATACCTATATACATACAAACCCAAGCAAACAAACAAACAAATATATATATATATATATAGCTGCTGCTGCTGCTGCTGTTGTGCTGCACAGGTCTGGTGCATACGCTCAGGCGAGCAGCTGGCTGACAGAGTTTTTAGCCGAAGTAGCGTTCGACGGAGGCTGGTTGGATAGAGTGTTAGCAGCAATCTTTGTCGGGGCCCCACACCTGCTGCAGGGCTTGCTGCAGCAGCTGCAGCTGCTGGTGCTGCAGCAGAAACTCTCCCCGGAATGTGCAGATACAGTTCACAAAGCCAATAGCTACTTAACCTTGTCTGCTCTTGCTGCGCCTACTAATATACAGCAGCAGCAGCAGCAACAACAACAACAACAACAGCAGGAGCAGCAGCAGCACGGGATGTTGACTCCTGGACACAGTCCGGAGGTGTATGCAGATGAACCAGTTGCTGCTGCTGCTGCTGCTGCTGAACAAGCAGATGCAGCAGCAGAGACCCAACAGCGCGACTCTGCAGCAGCAACAGCAGCAGAAGCCGCAACAGCAGCAGAAGCTGCTTCCCCAGATTGCTCAAAGGAAGAAGGCCTTGCTGATGAAACAGCAGCAGCAGCAGCAACAGCAGATGCTGCTGCTGCTGCTGCTGCAGCGCAGGAGGAAGTAACAGCTGTGCCAAACACAGCAACAGGTGAACTGGAGTTAGCAGCAGCAGCAGAACCTACCGTTGCTGCTGCAGCAAAAGATACGAACGCACCATCCACAGTAGCAGCAACAGCAGAAGCAGATAACGCTGCTCCAGCTGCTGCAGAAACAGCAGCAGCAGCAGCAGCAGCAGCAGCAACCACTCAGAAGAGACTCAATCCAAACGCCCCTGAATTCGTACCTGCTTTCTCTGTCCCCTTGCTGCAGCAGCAGCAGCTGAAAAAGCCAAAGCAGCAGCAGCAGAAGCAGCAGAAGCAGCAGCAGCAGCAGCTTGGACTCACCCACCACCTGGCTTCGAGGAGCTTCCTAAGACATTTAAGCGTGCCAGCAGCAGCAGCAGCAGCAGCAGCAGCAGCAGGTGCAGCAGCGGGAAAGGAGGCGAAGTCAGAGGGGCAGCAGCGAGACGCAGCAGCAGCAGCAACAGCAGCAGCACCAGCAGCAGCAAACGCGCATGAGAAGTCTTCGCAGGAACAGATGCTGCGGCTGGTGCAGCAACAGCTGCAAAGCCTTGTGCAGCAAAAGACAAGGCAGCAGCAGCAGCAGCAGCAGCAGCAAGTAAAGAATACTCACCTACAGCCACAGCAAGATCCCGAGCAGCACCAGCAAACCTGGCAGCAACAGCAGCAGAGGCACTGGCAGCAGAAGCAGCAGCAGCAGCAGCAGCAGCAGCAGCAGCAACGGGGTGCCTTGTGGAGACCCCACAGCGAGATATCTGCTAACTGGAGGCCGCGAATTGATCGCCAGCAGCAGCTGCAGGCTTTAGAGAGGCAGCAGCAGCAGCAGCAGCAGCAGAAGCAGCAGCAGAAGAACAGCAGCGCAGCAGCACACAGTGCAAGCAGACTCAAGCTCGCCCATGCAATCATCACCAGCCTCGCTGCTAACAACCGCAGCAGCATCAGCAGCAGCAACAGCAGCAGCAGCCTGCAGCCTCAGACAGCAGTGCAGCAGCAGCAGTAACAGCAGCAGCAGCAGCAGCAGCAGTAACAGCAGCAGCAGCAGCAGAGCTGCGAAAACGGCAACTCGCTTTGCTAGGAATTTACAGAGGAGGATCCATCGAAGAGCAGCAAAAATAAATATCGCAGGGAGCAGCAGCAGCAGCAGCTGCTGCTGCTGCTGCAACTGCTGCAGCAGCAGCACAAGCAGCAGCAGCATTCGCAATGGCTACAGCAGTAACAGGTGCTGCAGCTGCGGCGGCAGCTCCTGCTGCAGCAGCAGTAATTAAATCGATTTTCTTTTATTGAGGTCGCTTCACCTGCCAAACAACTGCAGCAGCAACAGCAGCAGCTGCAGCAGCAGCAGCGGCACATGCAGCAGCCAACGGAACTACCGAGTGGTGCGCTCTGGTGTATCTCAAAACTCTGCATTTTATTGTTTAATATATTTATTTTATATTTATTTATTACGCGTTTATTGTTCGTAGGTTCGTCAGCAAAAAACAAAAAGCAGCAGCAGCAGCAGCAGCAGTAGCGGCAGTAGCAGCAGCAAAAAGCATCTGTAGAGTATGATAGCTGCATTTTGGGTTACTTAGTAGGTTCGATGAGGCAGCAGCAGCTGCTGCTGCGGCTGTTGCTGCTGCCGCTATAGGAACAGCAGCTGCAGCACTAGCTGCAGCAGCAGCAGCAGCAAGGGGCATGGATAGACTGGGAAGGTTAAGCATTTGCTGCTTTTGCTGCTGCTGCTACAACTGTAGCCTTCGCGTCCTTTGCTGCTGCTTCTGCTACTTTCGCTGCTGCTGCTTGAGTTGTTCTGGTTACCGCTGCTGCTGCTGCTGTCGTTGCTGCTGCTGTCGTTGCTGCTGCTGCTGCTGCTGCTGCTGCTGCTGCTGTTGCTGCTGCTGCTGCTGCTGCTGCGAAGTTTTGTTAGGCGCCGGGTAAACTTTTGCTATGCTGAATTCCCTTCACCTCCAGCACTATCTGCTGCTGTCTGTGGGCTGCTGCTGCTGCAGCTATGTTAGTGCTGCTGCCGCTGTTGCTGCTGCTGCTGCTGCCGCTGCTGCTGGATGGCTTTAGGGTTTGCTGCAGCCTAAATGCTGCAATTTGCTGCAGCAGAATTTTCTTCATAAGCGAAGAGCGTCTTTTTAACTCCACAAGATATCTCTTGTATAAACTTAGCAGCATCTGGAAACCAACAAAAAACCCGAGTTTAGGGTTTAGGGTTTAGGGTTTAGGGTTTAGGGTTTAGGGTTTAGGGTTTACCTGCCAGACTTTCTCTCGCGATGGAGGCAAAGGGTTTGGGAACTCCATAAACCTCCTTTTTATTTCTTGCCTTAGTCTTTTAAATGTCTCTTGCTGAGATTCTTCTTTGCCCTACAAACCCCAAACCCTAAACCCTAAACCCTAAACCCTAAACCTCCGCGCTTGTGCAGTTTTATCTCAATCAACCCAACCGAAAGTACACCGAAAGAACTGCTGCATTAAATCGCACTGGAGAAGCTAAGGTTTAAAGTTTAGGGTTTAGGGTTTTGGGTCGTTCAAGGCTGATTAGGGTTTAGGGTTTAGGGTTTGCCTTTCTTTTGCTTCTTTGCTCGCTGGCCAGATCAAAGTCGTTTGCTGCCTTCGCTTCCTGAAATTCCTCCAAAACTTTTAAAACATCATCCGCTTCAGCGTAAAGAGCATCATCATCTGCATCCTGGCCTGGTGTACATACACCCCAAACCCTAAACCCTAAACCCTAAACAACCCTAAACAACCCTAAACCCTATATCCGAAGGAAAATTCCTGTACTTCCTCTCCACAGCACTCAGCTTAAATCAAAGCGCCAACAACGAGGGCTCCTTCAACGTGGGACCCCAAACGTTTAGGGTTTAGGGTTTAGGGTTTAGGGTTTAGGGTTTAGGGTTTAGGGTTTAGGGTTTGACCTTTATAGAAGAGATCAATGAGGACAAAGAGGTCTTGTTTTGTCTCCACTCCAATTATTTCTAACAAATGCAAAATCTGCAAAAAGTTGCGGTGCTCCTCCGGCAGCGAATCGGGCAGATCTCGATGCTGAACGCACAAGGGTTTAGGGTTTAGGGTTTAGGGTTTAGGGTTTAGGGTCTAGGGTTTAGGGCTTAGGGTTTAGGGTTTGGGGCTTGACTTGTTGGGCTCTGAAGCGAAGCGCGTACACTTTAAATTTACCGCAGTTCCTAAACCCTGTATTTTCGTATTTTAAACCCTAAACCCTAAACCCTAAACCCTAAACCCTAAACCCTAAACCCTAAACCCTAAACCCTTACATGAGCGTCTAGAAGAAAACCGCATGTTTTTAGAATAAGAAGAAGCACTGCTTTAATTTTTGTCGGAGGAAATGATGCATCACTGCTGTTTGTGTTGCTGCTGTTTCTGTTGCTGCTGCTGCTGCTGCTGCATAATCGTTGCTGCAGCATGAAGCTATCAGTTGTTTTCCTGCTGCTGCTGCTAGGCTTCACCCCGCTGCTGCAGCTGAGTCGTTCTTTTAAATGTAAATCTTCATCAAAGTCTAAACACAATTCTTTGTTTATTTCTTCGCTTTCTTCTTTAGGGTATTCGTAAACCAGCCCTAAATACTTTTTATGAATTAACGAATCAGCAGACGATACCCGACTCACCAACTCCATTATCTAAACGCAACAAACCCTAAACCCTAAACCCTAAACCCTAAACCCTAAACCCTAAGCCCTAAGCCCTATGTCTTTATTTGGGATCCAACGCGTGAACGGCGAATTCGTATGCATCTGTTTCAAGTACTTTGAAGAAGGTTTGCTGTGACCCAAGGGTTTAGGGTTTAGGGTTTAGTGGCTAGGGATTAGCGATTAGGGTTTAGGGTTTAGTGGTTAGGGTTTAGGGTTTAGCTTTTAGGGTATAGCCTTTAGGGTTTAGGGTTTAGTGGTTAGGGGTTAGGGTTTAGGGTTTGCCGCCTAGGGTTTCGGATTTTCACAGTATCGTTTAGGGCCTATCTAGGGTTTAGGGTTTAGGGTTTAGGGATTAGGGTTTAGGGTTTGACTTGTCTCTCTTCATGGGCCCAGAGTTGTTTAAAGAGGGTTTGATGACTCTTTCGTTCTTCATCAAAACCCCTTTGAAGTTTTTCGTGTTGCTTCCACAGTCGTCTGCATTCTGTGCTAGCCTGGACGTTTTCTAATCTAAACACAAACCCTAAACCCTAAACCCTAAACCCTAAACCCTAAACCTTAATCCACCTGCTGAGAGCCGCCGAACGCTGCACGCGTGCCCTTCGCACGACAAGCGAAACGCATCCTAAACCCTAAACCCTAAACCCCAAACCCGCAGCCCAAAGGCTTGTGCCTAATGGACCAAAGTGAAGGAAGGCCACCAAAATCAATTAGGGTTTAGGGTTTAGGGTTTAGGGTTTCCGTTTTTGTGTCTGGAATTTACAAGGTTTTAGGGTTTAGGGTTTCCTGATTCGTGTCTGGAGCTTAAAATTTAGGGTTTAGGGTTTAGGGTTTAGGGTTTACAGGTATTTTTTGCTGACGTCTCTAAACTTCGCAGCTATATCTGTCAGAGCCTCTCTGCACTGATTAAGTTTAAACCTCTGAGCGCTGAAGGCTACAGCATTTGTCGTTGTTTTCTCTGTAAGAAGCAGAACGCTGAAAGTTAATTGCTCTTGTCGCAGCTGAAAAGCAGCTAGAAGAGACTCGAGGTGTAGCTCCAATTCCTAAACAAAATTATAAACACAATATATATATATATATATATATATTAACCCTAAACCCTAAACCCTAAACCCTAATGTCTATATTTACTCAGCACAAACGAAAAAAACATATTACCGTTTACTCACCTGGAGAGCTTAGAAGTAGGGGGTTTAGGGTTTACGCTCTTTAGATTTTAGGGTTTAGGGTTTAGGGTTTAGGGTTTAGGGTACCTCGATATGTTGATTGTGTTGAGCTTTGATATCTGACGCATTCTGCTGACTCCGCAGTCTTTCTTCTGTCATTTTGTCGGTCCATTTGTTTCTTCGTTTGTCTCTTTCTTCAATAATTTCATGTTCCTCCTGAAAACAGCTGTTTAGGGTTTAGGGTTTAGGGTTAGTGGTTTAGGGTTTATGGGCTCGGGCTTCACGGGATTTGCCGCACAGGGCTGAGACTTTAGTTGTTTGGGGTTTAGGGTTTAGGGTTTAGGGTTTAACCAATGCGAGTTAGTAGATATGGCTTGAGTTTCCCTTTGAGGCCTAATCTTGGAGGAGCCTAGGGTTTAGGGTTTAGGGTTTAGGGTTTAGGGTTTAGGGTTTAGGGTTTTAAAGCTGCAGGCTACCAGATTCTTCCGCTTTTCGAATAACTCGTCGATTTCTTTTCTAAATGCGTCCTGCAAACATAAAGAGGCACCCCCAGTGTTTAGGGTTTAGGGTTTAGGGTTTAGGGTTTAGGGGGTTAAGGGTTTAGGGTTTAGGGTTTAGGGTCAATCACCAGCACTTGCTTCCTCTGCTCAAGCATCACTTGTTCGAGTCGCAGAAGCTCGACTGCAAACGGTACAGAAAGCTAAACCCTAAACCCTAAACCCTAAACCCTAAACCCTAATGTGTACAGTTGAGCCTTTGCATTTGCTGGATCCGGCAGGCGATGCATTAGGAGGTTTTAAATAAGAGCTGCGGTGTAGGGTTTAGGGTTTAGGGTTTAATGTCTGGGGTTTACTGTCTGCTTGCTGCCTGAGGGCGTCATACTCCGCATTCATTGGGTTTAGGGTTGAGGGTTTAGGGTTTAGGGTTTAGGGTTTACTGTCTGCTTGCTGCCTGAGGGCGTCATACTCCGCATTCATTAGAGCCGCCGTCGCCTTCAACTCTTCTTTTTGCTCGCTTATGCCTTTATGCAGCAGCTCGAAACAGCAAAACCCTAAACCCTAAACCCTAAACCCTGCAGGTTGAATTCTAAACCCTAATCTTACCTTGCTTATTAAAACTGCTAAACTTTACACTCTGCGGAGGGGCAGCGAAGGTGAATGCGCACTAAACTGCTGCTGCTATTTAGGGTTTATAGATTAAAGGGTTTAGAGCTAGGGTTTAGGGTTTAGGGTTTAGGGTTTAGGGTTTACAATCAACAAATCTTTGATCTTTGCGTTTAGCATCCTCAATAAACATCGCTTGTTCTCCCAATTTGAGGTTTTTTAATTCTTGTAGTAATTTTTCTTCTAAGTTTACTGATTTTAAAATGCTGTCGAGCTGCTGCAGCTGCTGCAGCTGCTGCTGCTGCTTCGGCACTTGCTGCTGCTGCAGCCCCTGCTCTCCTTCATGTTCCCCCTGCTGCTGCTGCTGCTGTTGCTGCTGCTGCTGCTGCTGCTGCTGCTGCTTAGAAGCAGCTGTGGATTTTGTATCGAGCAACAGGTTGGGGAGAGCTGCCAAGCGACTGCTCTGCAGAAAGAAGACGCCTAAACCCTAAACCCTAAACCCCCCTTAACCTTAAACCCTAAACCCTAGACGCTAAACCCAACGTAGCAATAATTCTGTAGTACAAAGCTTTAGATAGATCGCTCCTGTAAGCAGAGGTAAAGCCCTTAGCCTCAGATTCCTAAACCCTAAACCCTAAACCCTAAACCCTGTCTGTTTAATAGAAACCCGTAGTCCAACCTGTAGAGCCCTCTGGTGTTGAATGCTTTTATTGACAGTCGCCTCCGCCTCTTGCCTCTCTGATCAGAGCAAAACCCTAAACCCTAAACCCTAAACCACAAAACCCTCGTGTGCGCTTCGGACGGAAACCACCTTTAGGGTTTAGGTTGTCGAGTTAACGTTCGGGTTTGAGGAAGAGTAGAGCCTTGGAAAAGGTTTAGGGTTTAGGGTTTAGGGTTTATGGGTGGACTTCTTGCCCTTGTTTTTGATGTCTTCTTCTTCTTGCAGTTCTTGTCTGCGTCTTTGTGCGTTTTGTTTTATTGCATCAATTTGCTTACAATATTTATCTTTAATTTTGTCTAATTCTTTTATACTTCTCTCTATTTCTTTTTCTATGGTTCCAACTGCTGCTGTTGCTGCTGCTTCACCATCGAAGCTTTCGGGCTGTTCTTCGCGCTGCTCCGCCGCTGCAGATGCTGAGGTGTACGTACACCCCAAACGCAGCAAAAACAACTTAAACCCTAAACCCTAAACCCTAAACCCCTAGCACGTGCGTGTGTCTACACTTTTGTCTCAGTGTGAATCTTGAGTTGCAAGATAAGACTCGCATTGCGACCAAAGGTGTAGCCAACAGCTTCAAACCCTAAACCCTAAACCACTGTATGCGCACGAATATGAGGCGTTTTAGGGTTTAGGGTTTAGGGTTTAGGGTTTAGGGTTTACAGGCATTTTGGGCCTCTTTAATGCGCTGCTCCGCCCTTTTCCTTCTCTCTAAAATCCGTCGAAGTTTTTCTTTGTTTATATTGCTGGGAGCTGCAAAGAGAGCAAGGTTGTTGCTGTCTTTTTGTTCAGTGCTGCTCGTAGCGGCTTCTGTCTCTTCCTTTGACCCACTGCCATCTGCTGCTGCTGCTGCTGTTCCCGTTGACGCTGCGTCTTCTGCTGCTGCTGCTGCTGCTTGTTCTGTGGGCGCTGCTTTTTCAGCTGCTGCTTTTTCTGTTCTTGCTGCTGCTGCTGGTGCTGGTGTTGGAGTTTCCGTTGGTGGTGGTGGTGCTGCTGCTGCTCCTGTTGCTGTTGCTGCAGCTACTGTTTCTGCTGCTGCTGCAGGTGCAGCAGATGCAGCGGAGGTTGCCTCCGCTGCTGCTGTTTCTGAGGCCACCATCTGCAGGTCTGAAATGCCTGCAATTGGGGTGTATAGACAACGGAATACTTCCTCGATATGGTAAGGAGTTCGCTTGCTAAATATATTACTTCTTTTTGCGCTGAGTCATTTCGTTTAAAGGGGCTTAACTGTCTTACGCGGGTATTCAAAACAAATTCAAGAAACGCTGCGTTGGCGGGCGGCTAACGAAAAACACCAAGAGAAAATAAATCCCTGCACATCATTTTCCTATTTCGTTTCCGTTTTATTTGAAGAAAGAAGGGGAAAAAGGTATTTATATTGTAGTTGCTTTTTCATGGTTTTCTGCTCTCTTCTGTGCCTTGGGGCTTCCGGCTACGCACCGAGGCGACCCTGGAACTGAACGAGGGAAATCTGCTATTAACTGAAAATAAACAAGAGGCTTGTTTTATTCTAACAAAAACCACAAGGAAAAGGATTAAAAGCCTCCCAAGTTTCGTTGGTTTCCTCTTCCTTTTCTCTGTTTGGTGTTAAGAAGCTGCGAGCAGACCACAAGAAGGCTGAATTGCAAACCGGTGGATCGACTTGAAATTCGGTGTTCAACAACTGCTTTTTGATTATGAAACAAACAAATAAGCCCTTATTCATTAAATGAATAAGGTTTAGTTGTGATTAAATAGTATTTTTTCATAAAGATCTACATTCAGAATGGTGAATGCAGGTCGCAGCTGCAGTTTTCGCATACCAAATGCGAGTACTTCGGTCAGTTGGTTGTACACCTCAAAAGATGAGCATTCATCATACATGGAGCTTTAAGCTGATCAACACTGAAACAAAGTATATAATAAATATAATTGTTTGCAATAAATATGTAATTACTTCTTTTTTCCAGGGCGTCTCTATGAAGAAAACCCTTTCAATTTATCGCCTCTCTGTCGGCCGTGGGGCCCCTCGCATCGTTGCGTACGTTGCTGCGTTTTGATTCGAGACATCTGCTGATTTCATGAAAAGTTTAAAATTTTTATGCTTTTAAATGCTTATTATTGATTTTAGTTTTTATTTTTGATGAACTTTGGTACAAATTTATCGCTGAGGCTGTTCATTTCTCCAACATCTTCGGGTATTCAACTTGCATCGGCGTTCCCGTTGCGGGGAGTTTCTTTCCTGTTTTTTATCATTATTTGTTTCTTTTTTGCTTTATTCTTTTTGTTATTTGAATAATATTTGATTTCATTCCATACCGCTCGCCTTTAGCTGTTCTTTATGGTCGTTATTCCCCTCCAGCTGCAAATTCAATAATGTCTACTTTTGGAACATCTCTGCGCGTTTCAACCTTTGGGGAGTCCCATGGTGCTGCAGTGGGCTGTATAATTGATGGGTTACCAGGAGGCCTTCCTTTTTGCTTATCTTGTGTGCAGCGGGAGCTGCAGCGGCGTCGTTCTCCTGCAGGTTTCTGCAGCACCAGCAGATCAGAAGAAGACCGCTGTCAGGTTTTAAGTGGTGTAGAGAACAACTTCACTCTGGGCACCCCTATTGCTCTTCTTATTCCGAATAAAGACGTGCGAAAAGAGGATTACCGCAATATCGGCGCAGGAGGAACTGCTGCTGCTGTTGCTGCTGCTGCTGCTGCTGCTGCTGCACCTGCTGCTGCTGCTGCTGGAGGTCATTTGCAATGCATTCCAAGGCCGGGTCATGCAGATTTAACATATTTATTGAAGTATGGAATTGGCAGCAGCAGCGGCGGTGGTCGCAGCAGCGCCCGTGAGACAGCAGCACGTGTTGCTGCTGCAGCAGCAGTTGAAGCTTCTTTCCTTCGTTTTGCAGGCTCGCAAGTTATTGCTTTTGTATTATCTGTTGGCCCCCATCGTTTGCCTAAAGAAGTAGAAGAAGAATTCATCAAGCAGCCACCAACAAGAGAAAGAATTGAGCGAGAAGGATGCATACACCTGAACTTGCAGCAAAATACTCTAATAGACTGTAATGGCGCGGTATATTCGGGTGTATCTGCAGCTACGCTGCTGCTTCTTGAAGAGGAAGCAAACAAAAACAAACAAAACAAAACAAATCAATACAATATACACACAAGATGCCCTCACGCACCAACTGCAGTATCTATAGCTCGCTATCTCCTTCAGGTGAACATAGAAATTATTTTCTATATTATTTGTATTTAAGATATGCATTTTAATAACATTCTTCTGTTTGTCTAGCAAATAAATCATAATAGTTTAGTAGTATTGTTAAAACCCTCAACAAAAACATACATAATACCAGCAGGAAGGCTTCCATTCAAGGTTTAGGGTTTAGGGTTTAGGGTTTAGGGTTTAGGGTTTATTCAAGCTGCTGTTTTTCGGGGTTTTAGAGCTGTTTTGGGGTTTTGCGCTTAAAGCAGCTGTCTTTGCCTTTTTGTTTAGGGTTTATGAAAAACAGATGTTTAGGGTTTAGGGTTTAGGGTTTATTCCAACAGACGTATAAGGAGGGATTAGGGTTTAGGGTTTAGGGTTTAGTTGCATTCGTCTTTTAAATGAGTTGTTTTTAATTAATATTTCTTTGCCCTTTAAATAAAAATAAAAATATAATTATTATTACTATCATTTACTTTATTTATCAATAAGTAAATAAATATTTTATTCTTATTTTATTTATTTATTTATTTGTTTCTACTTGCATTTTAACTTATTTTCAGGTTAAGACAGAAGAAGACTCTACTGGAGGTTGCGTTTGCTGTGTAGTTCAAAACCCCCCAAAAGGAATTGGCAGGTCGAGGGTTTAGGGTTTAGGGTTTAGGGTTAAGGCCTAAGGGTTTGTTAATGCAGCTATTTATGATTAGGGTTTAACGCTTATAAAAGCAGCTGCCTTTGCTTGGGGTTTAGGGTTTATGATTAGGGTTTAGGGTTGAAGCTTTGGGTTTAGGGTTTATTAAAGCACCTGCTTATGTTTAGGGTCTGTGATTTACGATTAGGGTTTAGGGTTTAATATGCAGCTTGCGGTTTAGGGTTTATTCCACAGCTGTTTACGACAAGGGTTTAGGGTTTGTAAAGCAACTGTTCATGAGGGTATAAGAAGCAGAAGCAGGGTTTAGGGTTTAGGGTTTGGGGTTTAGGGTTTAGGGTTTAGGGTTTAGGGTTTGTGTGCAGGAGAGCCTGTCTTCGATAAGCTTCCTGCTGTGCTGGCGCATGCGATGTTCTCCATTCCAGCTGTCAAGGGTTTTGAGGTAAACCCTAAACCCTAAACCCTAAACCCTAAACCCTTATTTTTGTGGGTTTGTACTTGTTGGTTGTTGGTTGAAATAATAATATATTTAAATAGACATTTTTTTGCTTTTCTAAGTAAATATTTTTTATATTATTTGTGAACAAACGCTTAACAAACAAAACTATAAAAACATCAATATAATTACTTTATTAATAAAATATATTATATATATATATATATATATTGGCTGACAGCACTCTTCTCCTTGTCTTTTGTTTATAATTTTTTTTCAAAATAAAAATATATATTTTATAAATGAAGATATTTATAGTGATGTTTTTATGGTTTTGTTTGTTAGACGTTTGTTCATCTAGCATTCGTTTTATTTGTTTATTTTTTTAGGGTTTGTTTATTTGTTTTGTTTATAAATTTTCTCACCAATGAGTTATTTATTTTATTATTTATTTGATTTCTATGTATTAATTAATTTAGTTAATTAATTAATTTATTTATTTGTTTGTTTTATTTGTTTATTTATTTATTTTTATGTTTAGATAGGAAAGGGATTCGAAGCTGCAAAAATGAGAGGAAGTGCACACAACGACATCTTCATAAACAAAGACAAACAAAAACATCAAATAGCAGCAGCAACAGGAGAAGCAGCAGCAGCAGCAGCAGAAGCAGCAGCAGCAGAAGCAGCAGCAGCAACAGATAAAGTAGCAGAAGCAGCAACAGCAGCAGCACCGGCTACAGCAACAGAAGAAGCAGCAGCAGCAACAGCAGCAGCAGCAACAGCAGCAGCAGCAGGAGAGGCCAGCAGCAGCAGCAAATCTGCTGTTGATGATTCTATGGATTGCCCTTGCTGCTGCGCTGCTGCAGCAGCAAGGGCAGATGAGGCAGTTGCTGCTCTCAGCAGCAACACACAAATAATACAAAATAATAAACAAAGCATCGGCAATAAACAAAAACAAATAATTAAATATCTTAAACAATCAAAACGAGCAGCAGAAAATTTACAAACAAAAACAAATAACGCTGGAGGCACCCTCGGAGGCATCAGCACAGGTGAAGATTAAAATATAATAAAATATAAATATATGCAAAGCTATTGAAATAAATAAATATAAATATTTAATTAATTAGTTAATTAATTATTTAATTAATTAATTAATTAATTAATTAATTAGTTATTAATTTATTTATTTATTTTCATGTTCAAACATTTACTTTCGCGTTGCAAACAAACAAACGAACAAAACAAAATAAATAAAGTCAATACAATAAATTAAATTAAATTAAATTAACTATATATTTAATTAAATAGATTAAATTAAATAAATAAATATTAATTAATTAATTTATTTATTTATATTCAGGCTCAAACATTTACTTTCGCGTTGCCTTTAAGCCGCCCTCTTCGATTTCTTCGCTGCAGCAGACTGCAAATCTTTTAGGTGAAGTGCATGCATTACAAATTAAAGGTAATATAATATATAAATATAAATATAAATATAAATATATATAATATATTATATATAATATAAATATAAATAAATAAATGCTTATTAGAAAGACTTTCTATCACACCTGTTTGCGTCTTTCTATGCAATTATTTGTGTATTTGTTTATCTGTCTATCTACGTATCTGTTTATCTTTACTATAAATATATATATATATATATATGTATATATATATATATATATATATTTGTTTCGGCATATATTGTATATATATGCATGCCTATATTTATCTCTATTGTTTTATGCATAATACATATATATAATATATAATATATATTATATATATTATATATATGTGCACGGCTCTATAACAAAGTATAAACCAAAAATAAATCTGTTATTGCATTTGTAGTGGCATTACGCAATCTTCTCTTTAAATTTTAGGGTTTAGGGTTTAGGGTCTAGGGTTTAGGGTTTAGGGTTTAGGGTTTAGGGTTTAGGGTCTAGGGTTTAGGGTTTAGGGTTTAGGGTTTAGGGTTTAGGGTTTAGGGTTTTGTATGCAGGGCGCCACGACCCGTGCGTTGTCTCGCGTGCAGTGCCGGTGGTGGAGGCTATGACGATTTTGGTTTGTTTGCTTTTATTTAAATATTATTTAATTTATTATAATTTAATTTAATTTAATTTAAATAATATTTATTATTAATGTTAGTAGATATAATTTTTAGAGGTAATACGACTAATTTAATTCATCAATGCAAATAAAAATAAATATATTTATATTTATCTAAATAATATTATGTCTCATGCAGTATAATTAAATAATAAATAAATTTGTATTTATATATAACACATAAATATATTTAAATGCCTCAGAGTATATATACATTGATATTTGTGCGGTTATATACAATAAATATATATATATATATATATATATATAT